TCAGTTTTTTATAATATTCATCTTTGTAGAAATTTGTCCATTCTAAATTGTCATATTTATAAACATGAATTTAGTCATTATACTTTCTTAGAATCTCTTTAATTTCTACAGTACTTACAGTATTGGCCAATCTTTTATTCCTCATTTCAGTGATTTTTTTTTGTCAGTTTAGTTATATTTGCTTAATTTTATTGAAGTTTTTCAAGAATAAACTTGTTTTATTGATTTATTTATTTTTAACCTTTCAATATCATAGATTTATGTTCTTACTTATATAGTTTACTTTGTGTATGTATATGTAAATGCACATTCATATATGAGTGTGTGTATGTGTTTGTGTGCATGTGTGTATTGGTTTAATTTATTGTTCTTTTTCTAGCTTCCTAAAGTGGGAAGTTTGACCACTGATTCAACAACCTTTTCTGTTATTTTTTAATTACATAAATGCATAGTTTTCATTTTATTCCATACTTTTGGATTATTTACTTATTGTTTAGATTCAATTCAACGTATTTTCAACTTTTCTTTGTTATTTTCATCTTAACCCTTGAAATATTTGAGACTGTGTTGTTTAATTTACAAACACTTGGTGATTTTTACTTTTTCTTCTGTTGTGTATTTTATTTTATTTTATTTTATTTTTATTTTTTTTGTGAGGGAGAAAAAATTCTTTATTGATAAATAGGTTACAGTAAAATAAAGTGATGTGTTTTTTGGGGGGAATAAAAACTCTGAGTCTGAGTGTCTCTCCACCCCGCCTCTAGCTCTTGGCTTCTGCCTTCACCCTGGTCTCTTTGGATGATGAGGCCGTGGTGGACGTGCCAGGCCTTCTTGGGCCCCTGGGGACCTCTGTCTTCCTGGTCAGTGGTTCAGGTACCATCTTGGACTCGCTGTCCTTAGGAGCAGCAGCAGCTTTGGCTTTCGACCCTTTCCTGGCCCCCTGGGCAGTGGCCTCTTTAAGGACCTTGTTCCCTGTCTTCTTTTTGGCAGGGGAGGTCACACCATTTTCACCCTTGGTGACTGTGGGTTTTGAGCTCCGAGTCCCAGCTTTGGTTTTCCTGTGGGCCTTGGCATCTGCTGGGCTGTCCTTCTTGCCTTTAACCTTTGACTTCCCATGGGGCCCGCTGGCACCAGGAGGGGCCTCTGTGGCCTTGTCTGGCTGGGAGAAGAGGGGGTCCCCGAGACACACAGGAAAAAGGAGAGAAGACAGGGAGACAGGCCTCTGACGGGGGACCAGCACACAGTCAGGAAGAGGGAGCTGGACCTGAAGCTTAAACCCTGGCCGAGTCGTCATCCCCTGTGGCCCCCGGCCCCCAGCAGGCTCACCTTGAAGCTGCCCGTGGCCCCCCTGGCCCTGGAGTTGATGGGCCTGATGAGGAGGCCGCGCTGCATGCCCGTGTCCAGGGCCCGCTTCAGCAGGTACTTGAGCCGGATGGCGTCCACTGTAGGGTACTTCTGCAGGATGTACAGCTTGATGGCCATCACCGAGGTGCCCCGGCGCTGCTCGCCCGCCTGCAGCGCCTCCAGCACCATGCGCAGCATCGGGGGTTGCGGCGTGGTGGTGGGACGGCATGTTGGCGCGGGCCTGGCTTGAGAGTCCCAGACCATCCGGAGGTGGAGGCCATGGAGGTTAGCGAGGCCGAGGAGATCAAGGTGTCACCGGAGGCCAAGCTCCCGGGAGCCATTACGCGCAGGCTGACAGATGCAGAGATCTGTTGTGTATTTTAAAATTAATTCCTTTCTAATCAGAAAGCATATATTTTATTATTTAAGTCTTTTAAATATGTTGATCCTAAAATATTGTATGTCCAAATTTTTATATGAATTTGAAAAAAATTTGTATTGATTTGGTAAAAGGGTCTATAGATGGCAGTTAGAATTAAATCGAGCAGGTTGATAATGTTGGTCATGTCTTCTACATTGTGATTATTTTCTTATTTATATTTTTTCTTTCTTTTTTTTTATTTTTCTTGAGTCTCTAACATTTCTTGTAATATTGGTTTGGTGGTGGTGAACTTCAGCTTTTATTTATCTGGGAAGCTCATTATGGTTCCTTAAATTCTAAATGATAGCCTTGCAGGGTAGAGTAATATAGGTTGTAGGTCATTGCTTTTCATCACTTTGAATATTTCATGTAACCCCCTTCTGGCCCTCATAAGACTATCAGCTGATTGGTTGAGAAATCAGCTGACAGTCTCCCAGGAGCCCCCGTATAAGTAACTGACTGCTTTTCTCCTGCTGCTTCAAAGATTATCTCTGTATTCATTTCTCACTGGGTGTTTTTTATGTTGTCTGTCTTCTTTTTCAAGTTTCCTGACTCTTTGTTGAAGTTCTGAGTGAAATATTCTTTTCTTAAGTTCATTGAGCATCCTTATAACCAGTGATTAGAATTCTGCATTTGGTAGATTGCTTGCCTCCATTTTGTTTAGTTGTTTAACTAACTTGTTTAGTTAACTAAACAACTTGTTTAGTTGTTTTTCAGAAATTTTGTCCTGATCTTTCATTTGGGACATGTTTCTTTGTCACATCTTTTTTGCTGCCTTCCCATGTTTATTCCTATGTGTTTGGTATATCTGCTACATCTCTCAGCCTTGGCAGAGTGGCCTTATATGGTAGGTGTCCCCTGGGAACCAGTGGTACAGTTTCCATATTCATCTGAAAAAAGGTGCTATTGGGTTGTGTGTGCTCTCTTATTGTAGTTGAGTCTTGATTGCTGTTGCACTTTGGTGGGTGGAATTGCCTGCCCCTCAAGCTGAATGGTTGTCTCATTTCTTAACCTCCACACATGGGTATGTTACCAGCCAGTTTCATCTCCACCCTTCTTACCAGTCTCAAGGTGGCTTCTTCAAATTTTTATTTTCAGCAGACTGTCAGCTTGTTATCATGTGGTTCCCAAAGGTGGTTATTCTATAATTTAATTATAATTTTGATGTGAGTTTTGGAGGAAACAAGCACATTCTTTACCTAGTCCACCATTTTGTTCAAGATTCTCTTTTTACTTTTGCCAAATTTGTATCTTTGAATCCAAAATGTCTCCTGTAGACAGCAATACTGTAAGTTGCTTTTTAGATAGTCCAGCAATCTCTGTCTTAAATGGTCAATTAAGACAATGACATTTAATGTAATTGTCAATGTAGCTCTATTTAACTTACATTGTGCTATTAGCTTTTATATGTCACCTACAATTTTCATTGTTCTCTTTCTCACTTAATAGCTTCTTTTGAATTAACCCAGCGGTTCTCAACCTGTGGGGCGTGACCCCTTTGGCGGTCGAACGACCCTTTCATAGGGGTCGCCTAAGACCATCCTGCATATCAGATATTTACATTATGATTAATAACAGTAGCAACATTACAGTTATGAAGTAGTAATAAAAATAATTTTATGGTTGGGTCACAACATGAGGAAATGTATTTAAAAGGCCAGAAGGTTGAGAACCACTGAGTTAACCAAATATTTCTAGTGTAAAATTTATTTTACACTTTTTATTTTTGTGGTGGTTGCTCTTCTCATTACAATATCCATACTATTTTATCAAGATCTATTGCATATTAATACTAAATTAATTCCAGAAAAATATGTATACTTGCCTCCAACATTGCTTTATATTACTTCAGCAACAATGCAGTGATACTTTTAAATTGGATAGTTAATCCAATGCAGGCCAATGCCATGCAGGCCTTGGGATTATTTAATACAACTGGGAAGACATACTTTTGTTGGGAAATTTGTATGAGGAGATACTTTTTTTTGTTTTCATGAACTGAAAATAAAGTCAATAAAGAGGTAAATAGACTTTGGAGCATGACATAAACCAGATCCTGATGACAATGTTTGAGCTTCAAAATGAAGCTTGATTAAATTACAACTGTCCCCCAAATTCCTTTTCATCTTCTCTACTTTATCTATTTTTAATTTCTTTTTGTCATGTACAACAAAACCCTAATGCAGAGAACAAAGCAATTTTTATTTTTTATTTTTGTATGTAGATCCACCGGATGGCCTAGTTTGGGGTGTCATGAAAAAAGTTAGTCTCAGGTGATACCAGATATATTTGTGCATATCTGTTTAAAGGAATAAATCTGTGATGATAAACAAGTTCAGATGACAAAAAAATTAACAACATGGACTAAACTGTCTTGAGACTGAAATGCAGTAAATATTGTAGTATTTAGAACAGTGACCAAGTGGATGTTGGTAACATCGACAAAGGTGTATAAAAGACGTAGTAATTTGTTTGCTGAAAAGTAAGTTACATAGTAAACAGCCTAAGTTACTGGTTCCTGTGGGTGCTTTCCTAGGCATTATTGTAGCTTGCATTTAAGAGACAAATCTGAGTAAAAATAAAGACTTTGGAAATAAATTATATGTAAGTGTGTGTCCAATTTAAGGGTGTGGATAAGATCAACTGTGGATAGTGGGTGAAACAAGAAGGGAGATTTGAGAAATGCCTACATTAATACATTTGTTTGCTTGTACATTCAGTGGAAGCCATATGAATTTTTGAAGAATACTGTAACTCGTCTTTTATTCTTCCAATCAAGGCATAAAACTTGACAAGCAATAGTTAGTAAATTTACGTTTGTGTTGAATAAATGAGCAAACCATGAATTATTCAAATCATTTCATAAGGAGTCCTATGAACATGGGGGAAATACCAGGGCCCTCATGCTTTTCTTATAAATATGTCTCATCTCCCGGTACTGGAAGCTCAAGGTGTTCTTCCACAAGGGTCAAAGTTGTTTCTATATTTTAGAAAAAGTGACAACTGTTCATGAATCTTCTGAAATGATAGACCTGGGTCTTTTCTTTATTATTTTGTTCTCACATTAGGACCATCTCTATTCCCACCAGATCATGGGGTTGCTGGGTATGTGATGAAGCTTTGTAAGTGAGGAGGACTTATTACTTTTTGACTCATGTTTTCTCTTTTCTCACTAGGATGTGAATGGCATCCTGGAAAGGTATGTGTGAAAGATGAACAATGAACATTTTGTTTAAAGCCATTAACGTTATCTGGTAGTTAATTACAATAAAATATTGCTCAGGGAAGTACAAGCTGGTTGTAGGTTTATCTTGAATTTCTGTTCACATATGGTTCGAGTATTTTATAACTATTGAGAATGAACCAGATTTTATGGTAGGGAATTTAGATGGGGAGAAGTTGCCGAGTTTGGATTAGAAGCAGTTAAACATAAGATGTTGCAGTATCAGGCCCATGTGACCGCATTAATTTTGTTCAATCAGCATGATTGTATCTAACTCAGATTTCTGCAGTTCATAGGTGATGGATTTATTGTTGGAATGTCATGTTTTCTTCAGCTCCTAAGCAGCCAGAATTTGAGACAACTCAGTTATATTCCTTTTATGTTTCTCTGTATTTTCCAAAAAAAATTTAAATATCAAGGAATATTTTGACTCTGGCACAAACAATTGATCCATCTTTCTCACGCCTTTTTTAAAAAATTGATTTCAGAGAGGAAGAGATAGGGAGAGAGAGATAGAAACATCCATGATAAGAGAGAATCATTGATTGGCTGCCCTTTCATGACCCTCCCCCCCCAACTCCCTATACTGGGGATCAAACCTGCAACCCTGGGCATGTGCTTTTGACTGGAATTGGACCTGGGACCCTTCAGTCCACAGGCTGGTGCTCTATCCACTGAGAGACCCAGTCACATGCCCTTGATAAGACTAGAGCCTGTGACCTTTCAGTCCTCAGGCTGATGCCCTAACCACCAGGCTTAAGCAGATACTGCTATGTCTAAATTTGAACATCTACTTGACAACATCAATCTCTTCCAAGCACATGAAATTCAGACCACTGTTAGTATAGTGTCTATAATGTCTTTTCCAAGTGTTACATTTTTTCCCAGAGCAACTGAAATCTCAGATTTTGTTCCTGGGGCCTCCCTACTGGTGATTAACACCTAAAGGTCTTGGTCCTCTCCAGAGAGTATTCCCACACAGTATGCCTCAAACCACCAGGAGCTAGGTTATGCAACCTCCCTTTCTTGTCATAATTCTGGGAATCTACACCCATGCCATGGCTTTTCCTTACATTAATTTATTTCAAGGTACCAAACTTTGCATTTTAAAGAAATCCACTATTGTATATAATTTCATATGATTTTTAGAAGTTAGAGAGGGAGAGGATATTCACTGTGAAAGGAATAAACTGTGCTTCTGAGAGGTATACTCCTTCCCAAGATCAAGCAAAAGGCACCGGGGAAAGTGGACCAAGCACAGTTTTTCTGGCTCTAAGTTCAGAAGCCTACCCTCTAGTTCCTCAGGGGTCCATGAAAGGGCTCTAAGTGCAGAGGTCTCCTCTCTACTTTCTCAGGGGTCCATGAATGGGGGCTCAAGTGTTCAGTAGGGTGAATGGATACAAATCAGTGGTTTTGGAGGACAAAAACTGCAGAGGTGTGGAGATATATTTTTTTTTTGTCATCCCTAGGAGTAAGACCTTCACTCTGAAGAAGCTAAAAACTCTCCCCAAGAAACAAAGGAGAGTGTTCCAAGTTCCTGATCTGAGAGGGATGCTGCAAGTGTTTAATGGTGAGGATTTCTAGAGTGAGAGGGTATCTGTGGGTTCTAGTTATGATGGTGGTTAAAGAGGAAGAAGAATTCAGTTTCTAGGTCTGGGTAGAAGAGGCAAAGGAAAATGGATATTATGTGCTGACTATATGGGCATATTTACTGGGGAGTGGTCAACTGCCTTGTGCACCTCTCATTCTTCCTTGTACCACCTTACATAGACACCAGTCTTTCCCCTGATCTGGAGAGAAAATAGATTTTAATGTAGACTCTTTTGCTTATATTTTATATTATGAATTTTTTCTAATTTCAGAACTGACAGAGGTGCGCCGCTACTGGGGTAAGTAGAAATCACAGTATCATGAATCTACCCTGTCCTCATCTTCTTTTAGAACATTGCATTTCTATTCGGTCTCTTTCCTTGCAGATAAACTGAGTTTGTTAGATGCACTCAAGGAAAAAGGCTCTACACAGAAGTGGGTGAAAGGTTGTTAAGATCCATGTTTTCCTTCCAACACACATGCATATTATATTTCTGCAATGTTATACTGCTCCTTAAATACCAAAACAAGTTTTTTCCAGTTCCTACTCATTTTATTCTGATGATCTCTCTTGCAATGTCATAAGTAATAGTACATAATTTTCCTCACACAACACTGTAATTTTTTTACAGCAAACGTGACCTTGAATCATCAATCAAATGTTGACATTTCTGCGCATAAGAGAAAAGGGAGAGGTGACTTCTATCAGAGAGTACTTTGTCCACCTGCGAGAGTAGATTATAGTGTCCTGGGATCCCCTTCTATCACATCAGGGAAGCATTACTGGGAGGTAGATGTGCCAAAGAGTAAGGACTGGATTTTGGGGGTATGTATCAGGAAATACCCTGACTTCACTGGGATAGATTTTGGGGGGAAAAATAAGCCTGTTTGCTTTCAATATCAACCTCAAAATGGCTACTGGGTTATAGGGTTACAGAATTATTCCCAATATCAGGCTTTTGTGAATTCTGACTACTCCAACCCCTCACCCTTAACCCTGTTCCTGACTGTTCCTCCTGATCGTATTGGAGTTTTTCTAGACTACACGGCCCGCACTATCTCATTTTTGAATATAACAAACCATGGGTTTCTCATCTATAAATTCTCTTCATGTTGCTTTAATCAGGAAATTTATCCATATTTCAATTCTATGAAATATCCTGGCTCCCTGAAACTGGTTTCTCCAAGCTCTTAAACCTCTCATACTCTCACCCACTTCTGTGTAGAACCTCTTTCCTTGAATGCATCTAACAAACTGAGTTTTTCTGCATCACTGTCACCATCATATCTTTGCTGCCTTTTTTCTTCTGATTTGAACACCCTTCCTTCATCAGTAGGGTATACAATTTGCCTCATGTTATCTTTATCCCAATATCTTATTTGCATTAATAAAAAATCCTAATTCATCATTTTTATAATTCTAAGGAAAATGACTAATGTTTTGCCCTGGCCGGTTTGGCTCACTGGGTAGAGCTTTGGCCTGGGGATTGAAGGGTCTCAGGTTCGATTCCGGTCAAAGGCATATACCTTGGTTGCATGCACATCCCCAGTAGGGGGTGTGCAGGAGGCAGCTGATCGATGCTTTTCTCTCATTGATATTTCTAACTCTCTATCCTCTCCCTTCCTCTCTGTAAAAAAATCAATAAAATATATTTTTTAAAAAGAAAAGAAAATGACTAACGTCTCATAAAAAAATGACATGCATGTAGATAACATCTCTACCAATTTTTTAAATCTCATGTCCTCTGCCTCTGACTGAGATGATGGAAAGCTTTCTAACAACTTTTGTACATTATTGAAGACTCTGTATAGGAGTCATTTCGCTACAGAATGAGTCCTCAGGTGTGTGTCAGTTTACCCCTTTATGTTTATTATTCATCAAGGAGTGAAGGAGAAAATATTATAAACTAGAGGCCCGGTGCATAAAAATTTGTGCACTCGGGGGGGGGAGGAGGGGTCCCTCAGCCCGGCCTGTGCCCTCTCGCAGTCTGGGACCCCTCGGTAGATAACGACCTGCTCGCTTAGGCCTGCTCCCGGGTGGCAGAGGGCAGGCCCAATCCCTAGGTGCAGCCCCTGGTCGGGCTCAGAGCAGGGCCGATTGGGGAGTTGGGGCGCCGCCCCCTGACGTGCACAGAGCAGGGCAGATTGGGAGGTTGTGATGCCACCTTCAGTCACACTCAGGGTAGGTCCGATTGGGGGGTTGGGGCACTGCCCCCTGTCACACTCAAGGCAGGGTCGAT